TCTGTCTCCTCTCCACCAATAAGCTGGTGTGTGGTGGGCGTTCTGGCGCACTATGGCTGCCGTCGCATCATCCAGGTGGATGCTGCACACTGGTGGTGGATGAGGAGATACCCCCTGACAATGTAAAGCACTTTGAGTGCCTAGAAAAGCGCTATATAAATGTAATGAATTATTATTATTATTATTATTTAGTTTAGGACATGGTTCAGTGAAACTACACCCAAGATCTCCAGTGCTGTAGAATGAGTCACCACACATCAGTTATGTGGTTTGATGTGAAACGTTTCAGTCATCAACAGTGTTTATACTGCATTTGATAATCAGTTGCCTTTGTAATCATGGTCATGTCTACTAAATTTTTTCCCCACTAACATTTTGCACAAAGAATGTGAATTGTCTTTTCAAAGACATGCTGCCAAGTCCAGAAATAAAATTCAATTTTGAAGTCTTTTAAAAAATTTTTTATTACATTAGTGTAATTGAGCATCAGCAAGTATATTGATTTAATAATTCAGTGTATATGTGCAATATACTCTGAGGTACCTTATATGTGTTTATGACTTGTTTGAGCTTTTTTTTTTAATCGTTAGATTCAATTTTCTGAAGGGAAGTGGTAAAAGTTAAAAAGTTAAACCAATCAGGAACAAGATGCCATATCTGTCAATCATCTCTGGATGACCCTCGTTTATTGATCCTTAAAGTTATTTAAAAAATGTAAGAGTTTGCAGTTATCTTGACAATGTTTTAATGCATTGATAAATACATTTTCCGCAATGACTGTGAAATATAAGTAGATGTATTTTTAATTATTTAATCCCTTTTTCATGTCAATAATCTAGACAAGAGGTGTCAAACTGGCTTTCAAAGTTTTATTGAAAAATATAAATATAAGACATTCTCTTGCACAACAGAAATTAATGGTTGCTCATTAGTTTATTAACAAACTTAGACAATGTACTGTATGTTACAATGAAACCCAAGTCTGTCAGATAAAATAATACAGTACTGGAAAATATTGTTTTTTAAGAAATTCAAACGTTTTCTTCATCTACAGTTCTGAATGATCACTTATACAATAACATTGATGGAGAGTGATGACAGTTTTGCGCTTAATATACACCTACTGTACTCTATTCGCCTTCATTGAAATATCTACAAATAAATAAGTCACCGGTATAAATAGATCATGATGGAAAAGCAGCACTATGGTACAGAATATTCATGTTTGTGCTAAATGTAAAAATATCTTTGGCTGATGGGTTTGCTCATGGTTACTTCCCGAATATTTCCATCATTTTGCGGTTGCTGTGAGCTTGCTGGGCCATTTGTTCGGCTCTGGCCATCTCCAGTACTTCTCGTAGCAGATGAAAGGTCAGATCCAGGGAAATCGGCGGCTCCTCCGACCTGCGCTCTCTCTCCACTGAGTCGAGCGCCCGGAGCGCGTAATTGCCATCCAAGCGGCCGATGTTTCCAACTTTCCCCTCCAACAGACGCTGCGTTAACTGGAGCTGCAGTGCTCTTTTGGAATACTGGGATGTCTCGGGGAAGCTGTCGGCTGGGGATCGGGGAGAATTCTGGTTTCTGTTACCGAGCCGGATGAAGTACTCCTCCCCTAAGCGTGCCAAAACCGACGGCGACTGTCGCTCTCCATCGGGGTCCGTTGCTGGCTGGTTGGAGCTTCTTTCGATGGCTCTACATTCATACGGTGGTGGAAAGGCAACGAGCAGAGCCACGGTGGTGGCGAGAAAATTGAGCTTCATGTCAAAAAGTGGCGTGGAGAATCTGCGGGAGAAGTGAGTCAATTATGCGCACGATTTCAACTTCTCAGCAACTGTTTTGCGCACTCTGGGATGAAGCTCAAATCTTGACAGATCCAATTAGTTTAAAGCGCTCTTACTGAACATTAGCATTGCACAATTATATATTTCTAAGTCCACTTGAGCATTTACGCGCGCCTTAAAGTTGGATAGCTGGGTGCCTCATTGTGCGCAAAACACGAGGACGCATCCATAGCAATACAAACTAACTAGAATGAATATTACCAGTTTAAGATGTTATTACCTGACGTTTACTAGGCTACCTCAATATGAGCTGTCTCATTCCAGATAAGATGTTGCGTACCTGTGCGTAATTGGTATATCCTTGGATGGTTTTTGAACTTTGCGAGGTGCGTCTGTCTTCCAGTTGTTACCTACCAAGTTATTACTTTTAGGACTTCTTCAAAGGATGGCTGGAGTTTGCATTTATATAGCCACGGTCAGCGACAAGTGTCACGCATTTAGTAGCTTGCGTCTGCGCAGAGGGGAGAGAGAGTTGACTTGAATGAACGTAAGTGAACAGTTTTCGGTTTGAATGAGTCATCGTGGTGTGTGTGTGTGTGTGTGCGTCCTTGAGTGTGTATGTCTGTGAAAGAAGATGCACACAAACCAGGAGTATTTTAAGATCCTCCATATTGATCTTCTCTCGTCTTTTTTTGATTATTTATATTATATTTAAATTTTCCCCTATTGTTTAAGCTTTATGCCTTTAAAAAAATATAAAACGCATGGTGCGAATTATGAGGCTCCATAATCACGACTTCAATACTCTCAAAGGAAGTCAAAACAAAGTTTGGTGTGAGGGTCTAAAAAGCGCATATTAAAAAGTTCCCTAAAAGTTAGATTGCAAGTTAGACAGAATGCACTAAACAGACGTTCGCGAACAGAAGTCCCGTTCAACCGAAGAAGTAGCCATGGCAACTCGAGCGCTTCCCGTTAAGGTCGCCGACAAAACATGAGTATTGTTACAATTTATCACTTTATAAAGATTTACATATCATAATTATATTACTAAACCCTTTAGTGTTTTGTTTAAAATGTCTTTCAGACAGTTGACGGTTATCTGAGGGCGCCAAATATTTGTGTT